CGTCACATGGTAGGCCTTCATGGCTGCCAATGTTGACGACTCAACTTGTGCTTTCGCACGAGACACACTTTCCTGGTGTTTTGCCTCGAAGTCTGGTCTGCGCGATAACGCGTCAGCCAAGACATTCAACTTACCCGGCTTTTATTCAACTTTGAAATTAAATCCAGAGAAAAATTTCAGGGCATCTCGCCATCCTAGGTGACAGGTGAGGTGAACTTATAGCGGTCCGCAGTGATGCGTGATCCGTATAAACCACAAAACATTCACTGCACAAGAAGTGCACACGAAACTTAACAAGATCATACTTGATTGAAAGTCGCTCCTTATCATGCACAGGGTAATTCAGTTCTGCGGCTTTCAAAAGCCGAAACTGATACGAAATGACACGGTCAATGCCGATGTCATCCTTTACATGAGCGCGCTGCCGATTGCAAAATTTCTTGCATCGCAGACGACGCTAAAGGGCTTATCCGCGTCTGGCAATGCCAATACCGTTTCCTCTACAAGATGTTGCCTCACTGATGTGATCGAATCTACATTCTCCTTAGACCAAGTCCATTCTGTAACCTTTTTCTAAAAGTCGGACTAAGCCATTCATTGATAGCCTTAACCTTTTCTGTGTCTGTTTGTACACAATGTGGTCCTACGATGTAACCCAGCACAGGTACCTCAGGTACCCCTATTACGCACTTTGGCAAGCTAACGTATAATTGGGTGTCACCCAGAGTCTGCAACACAGCGTCTATATGACGCTTGTACGACTCTATTGCTCTTAGACCGCCCTCCGCCCTACTATGCACGAATACATCGTCAAAGTAATGGGGCGAGTAGGCACGGTGCTGACGCATTACGTGAGCCACCACTCGGTTGAATGTTGCTGGAGAATTTTTAAACCATTGTGGCATCACAAGCCACTCCCACACCATATCGCTTGGGTGCTTACTGCCGTTTTGGCTACATCAGTATCCCTCATAAGAACTTAATAGTATATCCAACGCGAAAAAGATAGTCGACTTTCCCCTGAATTTAAACAAGACATATTTTCGCGGGATTGGCGTTTGCACCGGAATGGTGGCCGTGTTCAGCTTATAATAAGCATGAACCACGCCCTCCACCTGTTGCTTTACGCACACAGAAGGTCGGGCTGCAGTGAGGCGACTTGCTCCCACGTACTTGTCTCGCCTTGGCTCTTTTGTCGAAGAACTCATCGATGTAATCGACTTGTTCCTTCGGCAACGCCCATTGCCTGGTCACACAATACTTGGTGCCAGGATTCAGGTCAATCTCGTGTCTGATGCCCCTATCGGCCGGTAGGCAGCTCGAAACTTCTGCTGGAAATACATCACGGTGTTTCCACAGAACATCATAGAACGAACTGTCCTTCAAGGCATCCCAACCTTGAGTAGCGAACCGTTTCTTTTTTTCGGTCTCCAAGACGCTCTCATTCATTGTGGATGAAGAGCAACAGTCCACCACGTTCTCTTCTGGAACTGGTGCGACTATCTCGTGGATCTTTCTTTCCTTTAGTTCGGACAGGAACAGACCCCACGTCATCTCCGAGAGATTTACTATCTCCTCGGCAGATGCCAAGACAAGTTGAAGCACCTCAACTGAGGATGCCTCCGGCATTTTGTCTTCGACGGCCTCGAACAACTCGTTCGTAGGTCCGTCCTCTTGGACCGAGACTGATCCAAGGGTCACTCGTTTCGACGTGCCCTTGATCGTCTTAACACGTCTGGTGCTCGTTCTTCGAGTCACCACGACCTTTGACCTGGAAGAAGATGTCGTTGCGGTATTAGCTAACGCACTCCTTCCAGCAACACCAGGCTCACGGCTCTGTGCCGGTTCTTGTGGCGCTTAACTTCCTGTCGGACCACCATCAACTGCCACAGGCTCTCGGCTCTTTGCAGGACCATTGGACGCATGACTACTACACCAGCCTCCTCAAGCTGTGTAGAAATTTGTGCCACCTGATTTCTATCAAGACACTTCCAACTCTAAGAAATCATGTTGCAAAATTATTTACCCAGCTCGAGAAGACTGGTGTGTTGGACGCTTTCAACTACTCCAGTCTCGACGAGCTGGGTAGTACCTGTTGCCGATTGACATACCATCATCGCACCCTCGACTGTGTTGGACACAGCATCAGTCACATAAGCCTCTCGCAGGAGCACATCCTTTCATGTGTCCTGCGTAGAGTTAGCGACTGTGCCTGTACATCAGTTTATCCATGGCTGGTGTTTATCCAACCAAGGCATGCCTAAGATGAGGTCATACGGACTCTCCATACCTAGCACTGTGAGCTTCTCTTTACAAGAGAAGTCATTGAAACTGAAGGCGAGTTCAACTTGAACTCCCTCCGATTTAACGAGCGCGCCGTTCGCTAAACGGACGGTCGCCTCTTCTCGCTTGCCATACTGACAAAGCGACTCATAACTCACCGGACTCTTTTTCAGAGCCGCGAGTTTCACAGAGTTCTGTGATGCACCCGAATCCACGAGAAGGGTCATCACTTGGTCATAGCCTCGTACTCGAGCGCTATAAACCTAAAGGGTTAAGGTCCCACCTTTCAGTACCTCAGGGACTATGCTACCCATTTGTTCGATAACTCTCAACATAGGGGTAGCTTCTGAGTCCGCGACAGTAGGGCATCCCGCATCCTACTGCGCTCCTACATTTCCCGACCCATCATATGCTGAGCCCGTGCGTCGTGCACACTGGTTTTTCGCACCTCCATTCGGGTAGGGATTCTTCTTGCTGGCTGCCTTAGCACCAGCAGCAATATTCGCATAGCAGCGAGCCATCATATGGATGCGCTTGCCGCACTTGTAACCGACCACTTCTGCATTGCCAAACTCCATTCTAGTGGCAACCGACTTCTCGGCCGACGGCTTATAATAAGCGGTCGCCGAGGTACTGTTGTAAGGTTGATTCTCAACCATGGCAATGGCAATTGCCTCTGCTGCTTGCAGATTGAAGCTTAGCTTCTCTAGTTGCATGGCTAGAGTTCACGGTTTCGCCCTACCAGAGGCATATGCATCATACCATCGACCATAGCGAGCAGATTTTAAGTGAAACTCAGCGTTAAACGCGATGCTCACTGCCTCTTCTAAAGTCGAAGGCTGGACACGAAAAAACTCTGTCCTGGCGACCCCCGTACGAAGTCCTCCATAAAAAATGGTTACTCGGACTTCCTCTACCAGAGGGTCTTGCTGCATAGCAGCGATGAGAGTTCTCAACTCTTGGACATAGTCCGACAATTCTTTCTTACCTTTTCGAGTAGCTGAAAAGCGTGAGCGCACACGATAAGCCTGATTAGGCGGTGCAAACACGCAAGTTAATTGCTTTTATAGCATTTCCTACGTGGTAAATGCGGCGTTTACAGAGACATCGCTCGTGAGAGCCCACTCTCTAGCTCTTCCACCGAGCTTAGAAATGGGCAAGCCAACTCGTTGCTTTTCTGACACAAGCATGGAGGCATCCATTGCCAATTCCACTTCTCGGATCCAGGGGGAAGATTATCTCCCTCCCCCCAAGGTTGTAACGTTTAAATTAAGTGGACGAGCCTTTGGCTCTGAATTGGTCACAGGTACTGGGATATATTGCGTAGGCGCAGCTGACGCTGCCTGGTCGTGGACCTGCCCGAGTAGCGTTGCGTCATAACGCATGAAGGCTTCAAGACGAGCATTAAGGACCTCCGGGCCTTGGGCCAAAGAACCTCGATTTGATCGAGTTCAGCAAACGCAGATAAATTATCCAGCGCGAGTCGTTGCACCTCAAAGAGGTGATTTTGTTTTTCCATCCTCACAGAGGGTCAGTCTTAGAGACTCAGGTGTAGAATGACTACAAGTGCTACCAAGTGTAGCGGAGCTGCAGAGCTCTTTAGCCAGAGTATGACTTATAGGCTGAAAGCCTCTTAGTTCTATAGAACTAAATTTATTTACGGCTAAAAGATACTTAGTTTTAAGGAGCTAATTAAGCGACTACAACGTCTACCCGCTCTACGGAGCTAGGACAGACTTCTAGTCTACAAGAAATAAGCTTAAGGTTCAGAGAACCAACGCACAGAGTGCAAGAACAAGCTAGAAGCTTAAAGGTTCAGAGAACTAACGCACGAAGTGCACAAGAGAACAAGTCTTATCGAGACTTGTGATTTCCAACTCAAAATGAGAGCTGATTATATTTATGCATTTAAGATTTTATAAATAATCCTACTCGAAGTACCCTACACTATATTAATAATTGTAACATTAATAATAATATGCCCGCGTTTTGGTATGAAATCATCCAATTATCAGTGTATGTTATACTTAGTACTATTGTATCAATTATGGCTTTGGCAAGTTTACAGTAAGTCTGACTAAACTGATTATAATAGTATAAGGTATTACTAATACCGATTGTATAAGGTTTACTGATACTTTATAATATCACTCAGCTATAATACCCCTTTTTGAAAAGATCGGTATAAAGAATGCATAATATGCAATTCAACCGTAATGTACTTTCGGTATGATGTTACAACCGTCGTGTAACCTTGTTACACAAGCTGCACGTACTACAGCCACGTGTTGATAATTGACTGCGCAGCGTTTCCCTTACGAGTTCGCCTCTATTTCAGCGAAAAATATGCCCTTGATATGGTCTTCTATACGCTAAACAACCGACGCGTAGTTGCCAAAACTGGCACCATGGCAGACACACTCACATATATGTTGAAGTTCGATTCCCATCCAAGTCAAAGGGCAGTTGTACGCAATGCACACTATAACGGTTTTGTCTAGTAAATGGCCAGGCGCACGGGCGCGATGAGCGCGAGAAGTGACTACAAATTACACGTTTGCCACGTATATAACGCAAAATGCTACTATTCAGCAGAATTTGTGCCACTCATTTAAAGTAAAACCTCTTCTTATAGCCTCATGTAACTCGGTCGCATCGTAAGCAATGCATTAAACAACGTCTCTTTCTGCTCGTCGCAGTGTAAGAATGAGCACCGATCAACCGTCAGACATGTAATCGTCTCCAGAAGAATCCCCACTGCTGCTTTCTTCTTCTTCGGAGCTTTCATTCTCGGAATCGCAAATATCGTACCACCGCAGTTCCCCCATGCCGTTGCACTCGTCAAATAGCTCATCTAAGACATCAAATGCATCGTACAAAGTGTGTGAGCGGTTGTACCACTTTCCAGCAGCCGCTGTCTACTTGGCACTGCATGTGTCATAGCGTACCCGTGCTATATACGAACGGTTCTTGGCCAAAGTTAAGATGCAATGCATCGTATGAGTCGAGCCCAACTGCTGGATACCATTCTAGGCGCGAGCACGCCACGAACGCTCCATCTTCGTCCGCTACTAATTCGCCATTGTTTGTGAAAAACACATACGTCCACGCGCCCCATTCGACTCGGATTCCGCAACCAACAGTGCATCCAGCTCCGAACACTGGACCAAAAGGTTGACCCTGCATTGAGTTTCAAGTACAAAGATCAAGTATCCACCATATGCATACACCTGTTGAGATTAACACCGCTTACCTCAAACGCACTGCCATGATATAACCGACCGTCGTCGCCGTGATACCCAAAAGACCTACGTGTCCACCCTGGTTGCTTGCCCACCAACGGAAATGTAGACTCGATCAGACCTATAGATGTCATCGCGTCTTGACCGGTCCTAGAACGAGACCTCGCATGTTGGTGCTGCCGTTTCGACAAGCTTAGCTCAAAGTATCCTCCACGAACACCGCCGACTTGAAATACCGGTCGTAGGTCACCCTTAGCTATGTCTTCATTTGTTGGGTTGCGCTTATACACAGCAAAATAGAGTGATATAGGGAACGGCTTATTCGCTTGAACGCATCGGTCATTTCCTAGCATTTCCCCGTCCAGAGCAAAGGTAACAGGGAATAGTTCCATTAATTCTGGAGTCTGCACTGGAATAATGCTAAATGAAATACACAAAATCGTCAACTCTACCGCAATACAGTTTTTAAGCTTTTGTATCGATCGGAGCCAAAGAGATCACACACCGATGGTATTCATCGGAGTATCCCAGAGCCTTTTTGGTCAGTTCTATATCTGCATAAGAAGGCACGGGGGTGATGGCGTGCGCCAGCAACTGGAATCGACGGCTTTCTGTGCACGAACTGCGACGAATGTACCACAAAAAATCCTGTCAATTTTTTCGATACTCATCACTACGATACCAACAATTCATATGACCTGGGGAATCGAGCGTTCAAGTTTTCATTGATTTCAAGCCGTGCGTCGCCTTTCGCTACACCGTCCAGTGGAAAATTGAGCGACTCCCAGCGACGACAAAAAATGTGCTTCCAGATGATTGGGAACGAAGGCAACACGTCTCGAGCGACCACAGAAGAAGCTACAGTAAGAGACTCTACGTCGCGAGATACGGCGAAGCTCAGCACGTGTGCTAATAGCTCGACGCTTAGGTCTGAAAAGTTCATGAGTAAATTTGAATACTGTTTATTCCTGCACTTGAAGTCTATGCATATTAGAGTGGGTTATCAGAATAATCGCCAATCGGATCATTATGTTGACCACTTGATTTTCTCTACACGAATGATACAAACTCTATTACAAGCAAACACGTAGATGGGAAAGGAGCTTCTTAGCACACACACACACGAAGAAGAAAATGTACGCGAAATCCGTCAATCCTAAAGACTTTACGACCACCGTATAAACCGACGAAACGAGACCAATTAATTGCATCCACAGATACTCTTCTGTTCCCTCGTTGCGTGAGATCTGAGTTGTACATCAGGATGAGAAATACATAACTAAAAGTAGTAGCCTGCCGTTATCGTGCCAATCTGGTAATTGAACGATTCCTTTTTTTGTAATCGTCTTGCACTCGACGCTCGGACACTATAAAACGACGCCGGCAATGGCACATACGCGCGCACGGATCAGTCGTTGTCAAGGCGTTTGCCGACAAGTACAAACCAGTCACAGCATCGAAAGGGTCCTGGTATTCTCTATTAACTGGTACAATTCTGCACGAGATACAACACAGCCGAAACTTACCTGTGATGAGAAACCGAGCATCCTTGCGAGCGCTATTTGTCGCTCTAATATTTACACCCCGATGGTATTGGGGTATACTTGTACGCGACTTGCAATCCGAAGATGCGACTTTCCCTGCTCTCACCTTTAACAATCCAAGCACAGCAAAACATTGCATCTGCTACGATTTATGATATTCTACGTCGGCGTCCAAAAAGAAGTGAGCTTTTGCCATTGGCGAGCGAACCGAACGCGCCAAGTCTCGGTGTATTAGTGGCATGTAACGAGTCTGATAGCACTCAATTGACATTCAACATCAAGTTGTGGCAAACTAAGCCATATGTACGAGGCAGAGATAGCTTAATCACTCGATTTGTCTGTCAGCCAAGAGTGCAGAGATTCGTTGTCTATTGAGCAAATTTGGCGTTCCCAGGAAAGCCTCAATCGCCTCGCTCCATAGTATTATTGAGTTTTGGTACTAAGTTACTCATTGCTGATACTAAAACATCTACTCAATTAATTGTCGCTCTTGTCATCCGATAAATCCCATACGGAGGAGCGACAACACTTCGTGCAGTGCGGAATGCAGAGTGATTGTGCAACTTCAACCAGAGTGTCAATGTTGAGCGGTTAAACTGTAGCCCTTCCCTTACTGCGGTTTATCGAACCGTGAAGGGCTGAGGTGAACCGGAGTGCATAAAAGGATAGAGCCAATCAGGATTGAAAACGCACGATTGGTTGGCCCTGGTAGGTCTCGCTTGCATTCTATTCATCAGCAGTACGGAACTGCATTAAAACTGCCAAGAAAAGCAAACATGGGCATGTAAGTGAATTGATCAAATAGAATGAATAGGCTGCATTGCCGTCTCGCTTGATATACTCGGTGCATGCTCGGATCTGTCCGTCACACTGATTGATAAAGAAGTATAAAAAGATTCTACTCAGTTCGATAAATGAATCATGAGTTTGAAATAAACCGATCCAGAGCACACGTACCGAGATACAAAGCGAAGACGGCAGAATATCATTTGAGTAATATAATAATGAATAGACTGACGCATATTTGTACTGCTACTACTTTTGCTATATAGTGTCAAGAACGGAAAGGTTGTTGTGCTGCTTAACGGCCGCTTTGCTGGCCGCAAGGCTATCGTTGTAAAGACCTACGACGAGGGTCGTGGTGACCGCAAGTTTGGCCATGCTATCGGTATGATGCAATACTACAGGAACTTAAGAGAGATCTGATCTAGACGAGAGTGGAGACTGACGTTGCCTGTGTATGATTTAGTTGCCGGCATTGACCGTTACCCGCGCAAGGTGACGCGTTCCATGGGCAAGAACAAGCTTAAGAAGCGTTCGAAGGTGAAACCGTTTGTCAAATACGTCAATTACAACCACATCATGCCTACCCGTTACGTCGCCGACATTGACCTGAAGAAGGTCCTTGACGATGATGTGCTGGGCAACCCGGAGACCCGTATCGAGTCTCGCAAGACCATTAAGAAGGTGTTCGAAGAGCGGTACGTGTTGATTGCAACTACTAGATGAGATCTCAATTCGAACATTTTGGAAATGAGAGTGCTGACATGTTCTTGGTGTCAATTACAGTTACCTGAATCAGGCTGCGTGCAAGTCGGAGAAGAAAGCTGCAGGTGTTAGCTTTTTCTTCAAGAAGCTCCGTTTCTAAGTGCAACCTGCTGTTTGCGATTAGAGGCTGATGGGAATCGAGGTACTAACATAAATGCAGCCCATTCCAGTTCCGTTCTGTTTCGAGAAAACAAACCATAACATTGTTGTTGTCTTTAAAGACGGCTTATCTCGTGGTCTGCTCATTTTGCTTAGTTCCTTCAGCCTTACGAAGCTTATCGTCGTCTCCTGTACGAAGGCCGCTTTGTCGCACTTAAATGGCGTAGTCATCATCGCTATCTCGGTCACTTTCAGATTCGTTGTCAGATTCGCTGTCTCTCCTTGTCTGGGCAACCATCTCGATTTTTTTTCGCTCGGCAAAGATCCTCTCACACTTGCTTAGCTTGTCTCCTTTCAGAATGCGCAGAGCGCGCTCATTGTACTTCCGCCTCATCTCTCTCGAAACAGATCGGCATGAGTCAACACGCACCAAGCGAAGCCGTGGACACTGAGCTTCAAGAGCCTCGATACTTGCGTCTGTCACAGCCGTACCCTGAGGAGTCGCAAACAATAATTGAGAGGAACACATGAAAAGGCTGTCAATTCTGTTCAACACGAACCTTTAAATCGACAAGCTCCAAATTTGTACATCCTTCTGAAATGGTAGCGAGTCCGTCGTCAGAAATCACCCGACAGTCCTACACATGACACAAAAGCATCAGATGGGTCTGCAGTGCATGCACATGTAGTGGATGCAATACCTGAAGTGAAAGGTACTGTAGCGATGGAGCGACACGCGCAATCGCTCGCAAACCGTCATCATTGATCTTTGTCTTGTCCAGCATTAGCACTTGCAAATGAAGCAGGTTTGTAGAATCCTATCGACGCGCATTTGCAAAGGGTTGTTGAGTCTCAGGCCAATATACATACACGAAGCGAACCCCTACTGAAAACGAAGACATGTCGCGACATGATGATAAGTCCAACCAGCGCAGCGAGGCTCCAACTCCTTCAGTCATCGTTTGAATATCGCGAAGGTTTACACTACTGCAATTGCTACACGACAACAGGCATCAGTAGCAGACGCGTCACTTGCCGTACATGTATCTAATCTACACGTACCTTATTGTCAACTTGGCCATCTTCACTGAATAAGTGGCGAGGTCCCTCAAGACCTGTGAATCCAGACTCATCGCTCCTAAAGAAGCGCAACAACACAGCAGAATCAGACTCACAAGTGATAATTGATATGCATTCATGTTTGTCTACGACGCACCAGTGAAAACGACCTTTTCCAGTGAGCTCCCACAAATCTTAATCAGCGACCTAGCTGCTTGGTTGGTGAAGAAGTGACACTCATTGAGATACACTTCACGCAACGCCACCGCATCGCGCGGCCACCCGCGTTGTCCACTTAGTCTCAAAGCCCGGCAGTCCATCAGCTCCAGAGTCTGCATCAGGAAAAGACAAGCCCGAGTAAAACTACCGAAATAAAGACTGCCACAGTACATACGCGCTAGTGCCGACCTGTAAGCTGGCGCAGTGTTCCAAGATATTGAAGAAATGCCTCTTTTGCATCCTTTGGACCAAGTATTGCGATTTAGAAAGAACAGCGTGTAAACATCAACCACCAGTACCAGCAGCAACAACAGTCACACACCTGTGTGCTCGAAAGACGCGAAGATTTTGTTGCTGCACGATCAGCTCAATGTGTGCGTCGACTAGAGTAATGTCGGGTAAGACGAGCTTCGTCAACTGCTGCTTGGCGCGTTCAAGCATTAGACGCACATTCCGTCGCAGCAACGGCCGCAGAGCAACTTGCTCGAAATCAAGCTCCGTCACTGGCATTTCCTCAAGACTCAAACGGCGCCATCGTCTGCACACCGCTTCGACGTGTAATCGATTGGGTATGACTGGTAAAAACTCCATGATACAGCGCTCGACCACCTCATTTAGCGCATACACGGACACTTTCATGTGTCGCATAACTGTTTCCGAATTCATGTCAAAATTTCGCGCTGCCTCAAGTAACGTCCGGTCTAGTGTTAAGACGTCTTTTTTGGTCTGATTCTTCCGTTTCAAAGTGGCCGTTGTAGCGATTTTTCGATGGAGAAAGAGCACGTCGTCTTCACTCTCACCATCTTGCTCGACTTTTCGTAAAGATGGCGATATACGCTTCTTTCCAACCATGATCGGACCAAAAGGAGATTCGACAATCGTTTCCAGCCAATTATTTGGAGTTGCAAGTTACACCTGCTTCTGTAAAACTACTCGCTACAACGCTTGACAAGGATTCATCTCGTAGATTCATTTGTCGTAACGGCGACAGAATAACAAATTGCTAATAAAAAAACGGTAGCTCAGCCATCAAATCAACGCAATGCGAAACTAGAGTCGTTCCCTATAACACTATCAACGATGCACGTAGTGCTCTTATGTCATCGTTTATGTTAAATATTCGTCCAAAACGTCGCGTTTTGTAACACCTTTGCAAAGGTTCACTACTTGCTACAGTCCTTGCAACAGCAAGAGCAAGAGCGGATATAATAGCTATTGAAAGTCGCTCGCATCACATTGTTCCTGAACATTGGGTGACTATTGTTTCTATCGAAACCGTCATTTACATTCGCTGTGTGTCTATGAAAAATAGCGTACTAACTGAACTGAACACTAGCACATATCATATGATTGATCTTTCCAGATGGTAAGCCTCGCACTTCCGAAATTACTCGACCATCCAGCAAGCGCTTTTGATTACGGAGTCGTGTTGTCGTCCCATAGGAGCTCCAGTTTCTACATCCTTCTCTTTTGCAGTCGCTTTGTGACAGGAGACTGACTTCTTTCTTCTCTACTCAACTAAAGTCTCTATTCTTGCAGTTGTTTTTCATCACCTTACCACCATTCCAGTGACCACCGACCCGTAAGCGACGTCACTACTATGGTCAAGAACCTTGGAATGCAAACATCATTGGATCCAATGGATTTGTCTCGCCCACCAACAGGCCATAGCGTTAATGCCGACAGCAGTCGTGCTGACAGCAAATTCTTTGCACTTAGTGTAAGCGGCACGAACATGGCTGGCAAACCATCACAACTTGCTATGCCTGTCATGTACGGTACACCCGTGGACAAAGTTTACAAGTCGTGGCCTTTCCTGACTGTTGGTATATGTGCCGCTATCGTTCTTTTTGGTATCATTTACCGTGAACTACCAGAGTACAGGTTGGGCTTTCGCTACCAGCTGTACGCGCTCTTTGGAACAACGAACGAGAACGCCAAATGGGTCGGAGGACATCGTGAAATTGTCGGCTTTATCGTCAATTATTTCTTTATTGGACTGCCGTTCATGATTGGCGGCATGGCGCTTGCTTTAGGAGACGCTTTACCGCCTGTGCCAACGGGTGTATACCGCACAGTCACGCGTTTCCTAAAGCGCAAGATCTTCGTCGGCACTATAAACATTTCGTACGCTGAGTCTATCTGTACACTTGTGTTTCTAGGGCTGAACGCCATTTGGTTTGCTGCTATTTTCTCACGGAACTATGATGCTCTCGTGAAGGCCAAAACTACCGATGGTGCTTCAATGTTTCGACTTGTGGGTCAAGTACTCGGATTCAATGCTATGCTTTGCTTTTCGCTACTGATTATCCCCGCGACACGCAATTCGTTCTGGATGCTTTCTATGGGCATTGACTACTCGCACGGCATCAAGTACCATCGTTGGGTTGGATTCTTTACAATCACAATGGTGGTCCTTCACGCCGTCCCATTCTACGTGGCGTGGTTCAAGAGCGGCACGTATATTGAGTCGGCATTTCCGTGTATGGACTGTGACTACGGAACGGTTGGCAAGAAACGCCTCCAGAATTTCTTTGGTCAGTTGGCGCTGCTGTGCTGTATCGTTATTGGCATGACGTCGCTGAGTCCGTTCCGCCGCAAGTACTATGATGTGTTCTACTACTGCCACCACCTCTTCATCTTCGTGCTCTTTTTCAGTGCGCTACACTTTTCGCAGTTTGTCATCTGGATGTACCCGGCCGTGTGCCTTTATGTCATGCATCGCATCTTGGCTCAAAACCAGAGCCGGATGCCGTGTGAAGTCGTGGATTTGGAAGCTATTCCTGGCGAGATCACGCGTCTAGTTTTCCGACGTTCACCGGGAAAGTCAGGCCACTACCATGCTGGCCAGTTCATTTACCTACGTATTCCGCTGCTGTCGCACACACAGTGGCATCCGTTTAGTATCAGTTCGTCACCTATCGAGTACGAAGACACTTTTACTGTACACGTCAAGTGCGTTGGTAACTGGACCAAGTCATTGTACGCTGTCGCTATCCAGGCGCGTGAGGAACGAAAATTGCCACTCATTTACGTTGACGGCTTTTACGGGAAAATGTCTGACGACTTCCAGCACTACCCTGCTCTCGTGTTCGTTGCTGGCGGTATTGGGGGCACACCGATCATTAGCATCATGGGCAAGATTTTAGATTGCATGCGCAACAATGATCCAAATATGGCGTTTACTCAAGTGTACTTCCACTGGACGTCTCGTGAGATCGGTATCTTTCACGAGTTTGAACCCCTGCTGGACGCCATCGAGCAGTTCGACCCGGACCATGTGAAGATGAAGGTTCGTCTCTGCTTTACTGGTGACCAGCACCTGGGTGGTGTGGACATCCCCAACGGTATTGCGCTAAAGCCAATGGATGACACTAGCATGGTTCCAACGCGGCCGTTCTTCCAGTCATCCCGGTCTGTGCCCCGTCAGATGCTCCTGTTCTTTGTGACATTCACGTGCAGCTTCTGGTGTCTGTTCTTCGTCCGTTTTGACTACCCGATGCTGGGCCATCTGCGCGTCAACCAGAGCATGTGGCCGATGGAGCGTATTGTGGAGGTTTTCATTATGATTGTTGGTGCTTGCGTAGGCTGGGCTGTAGTGTTTTCGGAGCCTGCGCCTCGATCGATGAGCCGAGTGGAGAAGTCACGCTTTATGCCCACTCTTGACAGCTATGAGCCCGATGAAGAGAATGTCGACCAGTACTCGGAGTATTCTCACTCGCTCTCATTCGACGGAATGGAGGTCCAGTTCCACCACCCCGTAAGCCGTTCACGGCTGAGCGTAAAGGAGCTGTTCAACGAGGTTGTCAAAGAACAATCGCACAACTTTGCTATTAACATCACTGGCATTGGTACGTGGGTATCAGGCCCCATGGGTCTCATTCATGCTGTGGAGACGGAGGCCTCCAACTTTGCTGGCATTTTTGATGTGCACTATGAGGAGTTTGAATTGTAAAACTACTAGCTGCTTGCCATATGTGTATGTCGCGCTTACCACTCGTTTGCTCTCGCCGTTAATACCGAAGTAAGGTGCTTTTCAATGTGCATGGGTTTTGCGCTGCCTGTTCGTTCATCCTATGTGTTATCCAGCTTCATTACATTGCTACGCTCTTCTGACATGGTTGTCAACGTCATTAGCAAGTGACAACGTCGCAATATTCTGTAGAAGGACAGCAAGACAGATCAAACCAAAGCTTGAACAATAAAAGACAAGAAGAAGCACCCCGAGTGTGTTGTCACAATCCCTCTTCGTTTTGTCATAAGCTACAAAGCTGCTCGAGAACACACGAATTCAAACACCTTCTGCATGCATTTAAACGCGGCTCGGGTAAAGCATGACGCGCACACTCTTGCTAATGGCCTCGGCTGGCAAATTCTTGGCAAACTTGGCACGGACGACACCGTTGCTACCGTGAGCACGGACAACCTTGCCCCACACGACGCGAAATTGGGTGCCGTTTTTCAAAGACTTGGCCTTGTAAATGTAAGCAATCTTCTTTCCCAAGTAAAAGTCCACTTCTTTCTTGTCCGTCAGGCCCTGGATCTTCACCAATGCCGTGTGCGAGTATTGATTACGCAGACCACGCTTGTAACCAAGGAATACACCCTTGACATAGAGACGAGTAGGTTGACCAGCAGAGGCGACCATTGTAACAAAAGTTCTGTGCATATATATAGTAACCATTATACAACCCTAGTGAGTAAATCATGCAAGCATAAAAGCTGCAAGGGAAGTCAAAAGTTTCTTACGTACCAGTCGGAAGAATAGAACGAGCGAGGGACTGAAGGTGGCGTCACAGTAAAAAGCTATGGACTGGACCGAATTGATTGGCAGCCAATAGACCTCTAGAAACGTATATTTAGGATGAAAACCTGCCCAACGCGATAAAGCTCGATTTACTATATATTGTAATATAAAATTTAGATCGGTCAGAGAATTAGATTTGACAGGAACATACAAAATATGAAAAGAAGTAGTAACGTACTCAAAATATTAGCAACAAAAAATAGGTACTAAGCTTCAACGTCACCACGAGGTGGCTCGATTACTATTTATCACCACTATTTTTCGTGGTAAAAAATGTCGGGGCCAATTCCATGAGCCATTCCTTTTTAATCACAAGCACCGATCGAATGTAATGTTTGCTTGTAAAGACCAACTCATTATAGACAACCCATTTCGGTGGTGGATTGCGCATAAAAAGCGAAGACGACGGATGCATTTTGACAATCTCAGACCGGCCACACATTGTCTTGTACGCAGTCTTGGAACTACCGAGACCCTCAGCGACGGACCGCATGGCTGTATTTAGGAAAAAACCGGCCACGATACTCTTCCTCAATGGGTCAATGTCAGGAAAGCTAGAATCAATAGACAACTTGAGCTTTTCAAGGTACCCTTTCAATTGCAACCGTACGCTCTCGACACGTGTCATGGCACGGTGATTGATATAGTGATCGCGACACCACTTGTTTCGCTGTTTCGCTCCACACTGGATGTACCCGTTGAAGACATTCAGCAAAGTGATCTGGTCTCCTTCATAAGCAATGAATCGTGCGCGAGATTGTGCTGCTTCAGCTTTCTTGTCACGAGGAGAATAGAAGATGGACTCGACAGACAACATGGCCACGACACTTAACGCTTCTTCGGCACAGCCCAACTCTGTCGCCTTCAGTAGCATCACAGCGTACATGGGCTCGACAGGCAGACCAGCCATCTGTCGGCCGCGCGTGGTCAGCTTTCCTTTATTATCCAGCGCTTCTAGCGCATACAACTTCTCAAGAGCCTTGATCAGAGACGTCTTGAGCGGTTTCTCAATAAAGTCGAAACCCAGCACATCGTCAATTCCCATGCATTTCAACTGCAGCACCACAACTTCCAAACTCACACGCTGGATGTCCGGGATTGCACGCTCTGGAAGCTGCTCGAACGTCTCCTCCGGGAACAAGCGGTAGCAAATACCAGCAGCCTCACGACCTGCACGACCCGTACGCTGCCAAGCTTGCGCCTTCGAAACAGATTCAGTCTGTAGCATCTCCATCCCGCTCGATGCAACAAACGAGCGCTGCTTAACGAGCCCCGTGTCCACGACATAACGCACACCGTTGATAGTAATTGACGTCTCTGCAATATTCGTGGCAAGAATCACCTTGCGCACTCCTGCAGGTGCGAGCTCAAACACCTTCATTTGCTGCTCACGTGGCATGGCAGCAAAGATTGGACACACCATCAGCTTCAATGCATCAGCAGGCAGTGTTCGAGCGTATTCTTCCAGTAGTGTTTCGAGTGTTTCAATATCCTCTTGACCCGTCAAAAAGACCAAAATACTGCCATTGTTTGTCTTCTCGTCCAAGTGAATCTGCAGCACAGCCACCAACGCTGAGTCGAGATAATCACGCTGTGTCTTGGCCGTGTAAAACACGTCGACTTGGAACATCCGTCCGGGGACTTCAATTACTGAGGGGCTAAACTCTTGAAAGAATCTACGAAACAATGCCACGTCCAAAGTAGCAGACATGATTATCACTTTGAGGTCTTTGCGTTTGCGCATAGCACGCTTCACAATACCAAACAGGATATCTGTCTGCAGTGTCCGTTCGTGTGCTTCATCCAATACAACCACCGAGTACCTCTCAAGCGTCGGAGACAGCAGTGCCTCTCGTACCAGCATGCCGTCCGTCATAAACTTGAGTCGTGTGTTCTTGGATGTTGTATCGTCAAAACGGACGCAGTAGCCAACAGTGTCGCCTAGCGGGCCACGGTTCACCTCCTCACACACGCGCTGAGCTACTGTGATGGCAGCCACACGACGTGGCTGTGTGATGGCAATACGTGCATGATGCTGGTCGTTTTCCCAAATGTACTGAGGAATCTGCGTCGTCTTACCACTGCCAGTTTCACCCACGAGAATCACAACTTGATTGCCATTGACAGCACTGACGATTTTACTGCGATGCACGTAGATGGGGAGACGTTTCCGAGTGCGTTGTAATTCAGATGCGACTGAGTTATTGTTAGTAATATTATTGGAACGTTTCGAAGGGATCAAATGTGTACCTAAGGAATGTATCGGACGCTTACGAGAGACATTAGAGCCATGGCTGGATGTTGTCATGGTCAATGGGTGGAAGTGAGGTTCGTTAGTTAGAATTGTTTCGCTAAAAGCGTTTAAACTGCTTGTTTTAACACTTTATTGGCTTACGACCGGTTTTTGCGACCCATGGAGTGCAGACGCTGCTTGGATGGTGGTCTAACATCATTTCATAAGTGCACTCATTAGTACCATTAACGCTTGATGGAGCCACAAACATAAGCCAACTGCAATATGTACCCTCGTCGTGTTCCAGGATCTGCGTAAAGACTAAAGTCTTCACCTTGACGGACATTCCCACCACTGGAAACAAAAGTTTTGCCGCGCTCACCTGCACCCCGAGAAGCCATCTTATTCCGAATACCCTCGTCTCGCTCTCGCTCATCTTCTTCCTGCTTCTCCGCCAGACTGAGATCAAACAAGCAGATGGACGCATCGTTTTAGCAAAACTTCTAACTAAACCGCCAAATCTCAATGCTGCAGACTTTGACAATTCTTACCTGAGAATCGTATTGATCTTCTCACAAATCTCAGCCGACTGCATTTTCCAGTTAGTAAGCTTTTGAATCATTTCATCAACGTCCTCATGATGCGTGTCACGTCCGACAGCATACTTGACAACGAAACAGCGCAATTTCTGGTCCAGTTTGCCTTGAATCAATCCCTGCACGTAGTAGCAACGCGACAGCATTAAAATACACAGCCACTACCTTCACAACATCAACCTCTTGTTCAAGAGTTAATAGTATTTACGTACAGAGTAGATGGTCTCAATAAGAATATCTTCCACTTCACGGATCGTTGAGACACCCAAATCTTGCATCAACGTATCGTACGGAATGTTCTACGCAGCAAAAAAAGCCACCGTCAATCCACGCTCTTCTTCACTGAATCACCTCTTCTTTTCCTTTTTTACTTTAAATTTGTGAGCAAGCGACACCGCTGTGAGTTTCCTGAGTTTATTCATCTGCTGCAGCGTCAGTTCCGGCATTTCGTGCTTACGAGCTGATAAATTACATTGATTCATTACACTCAGTACTAAACGCAAGTCCTTGTTGATAAAAGTAAACAATCATATTAATAAGTGTATAGTATACTCACTTATATAGTCATTATACGTGCCAAAGCAGAAGATGCGCAGCAATTCGTAGTGCTCCTTGTACTCCGAGTCCCGTAGCGCCTCCACATTTGGCATATCGAGCAGCTCACGGAATACAAACAGCTTCTTATTACTAAGTACCTGCTGAATCAATGCAACGCATGCCCGACCACGTGCGTTCTTTGCCAATAGCGTGAATTGTTCCAGACTCGTTCCTCCCGCCGTGTCAAACGCCATCATAATATTTGTGTGCAGAAAAATGAGATCATATTGTCATATTTGGATATGGTGTACAATACACATTGTGCATTTTGACAAAAGTTGGCATTTCAATAATGACGACGGATTTAGAGGCGAGTATTCAGCAAGCATTGCCAAGTGCACTAAAGATGGCGCTGTATGCGTCCAAGAAGCAGCAATTGGAGCTACGTAAGCACACAATTGAAGGCGTAGAATTATTGTGTAATAATGCTAAATTCGTAAAGGAGTTGGAGGAGCAGGAACTATTGCAGGAACTGGACGAGACGGCCAAAGAGTTTGCTGTACTGGAGACGCAGCTCGCACATTACAGGACGCAGCTGGAGAACCTGGAGCCACTTGTAGAGAGTGGACAACTTGACCAGAAGAAGATTGATATGATGCTCAAGGAATCGCTGGCCACGCCCAGGATTAATGCTACCAAGCACGACTTTTACAAGAAATTCTGTGACAGTGCAGGGGTATGCCTGGCATACAGGACAAGGTTTAATAGTGATTGAAGATTGATCGCAAGAGTTGTTGCTATTCTTGTTGTCGTATAGATTGAGCTGGCGATGGATGGAGATGAAGATATGTCGATTCAAGAGAGTGAAAGCACGAGGAGCATTATTTGTCCAGTAACTCAGGGAGTAATGGAGGATCCATTGAGAAAGTACGTGGATACTGAACATAGATACACATAGAATTCTTGATGGTGGTGATGGTGTGACGATTGTGATTGCTGTTGCTTTGTAGTCCGAGTTGTGGCCACACGTACTCAAAAAGAGGTATACAGGCTCACTTACGACGTAATAAAAAGTGTCCTGTGGCAGGTACAGTGTGATAGTTTGTGTGGATTGCAATGGTTGGAGCAGTGTTAACGAAAGACATATATGCAGGTTGTCCACAGAAGCTATCGTTCAAGGGTTTGGAACGGGACGTCGAGATGGAAGTCATTATTGCACGCAGGTACAAAACTTGCTTGCTTCTCCATTTGTTTTTGTTGGCTCTTATGATGGTATTCTCTCGCTGTACGTTTAGCCACCCCGCATCAGAGCAGCAGCGGTCACAGGCTTTTGCTCCAGCGGACCAGGATGAAAATGATGACGAGGAAGAATATCTAGTCGAGTAGTTCAGCTGCATGAGTGGGGCACTTGGAATGTCTGGAGCATGCTAGAGGTAATGCAACACCGTGGAAATAGTGCCGAGCGTCGCGTGTAGAAATGAGGTGGGAACATGCAGAACAATTACTTTTTTTTGCATATCCACGCTTTGTTTCTACAGCTCGTTTCAAAGCAAATGGAACGACCAACCAAGATACTGCAATAATGATACATGGACGCATATATACACTGCAATATCAAACTGTAAAGCTATTGCACAAGAAGAATCGACAGCAAGTATTAGCTGAGGCAGAGTGAGCGGAAACCTCCAAATCCAATCTCCGAAATGCGGATGACGCCTAACACACCCATAACAAAGCCACTTACTCCAATAAAAGTAGCAACGAAGAAAATCACTAGCGCCGACTTGCGGTACTTTTTGATCAAGTACGACATGCCTAGCTGTCCAATGAGACCAGCGATAAAGCCGACCATGCCGTGCCAAAGCGCGTGTTTCACTGGCAACGTGCCAAGAATTATAAACTGGATCGTGGTGGCAGAGGACGTGAAAAGGATCATTGACGACGACGTCGCAGAGGAGACCTGTGGCAACAGTCCCATTTCAATCAGCAGTGGACCCTTCACCATGCCACCTCCGATGCCTAACAGACCAGCAGCCACGCCAGCTGCAGTGCACAGTGTGGGGTACTTGATGACTGCATGCTTCGTCCAGACCATATCGCCCTGTGCATATGTGTAGTCTGATGCCTGTAGCATCGTGTGGAACTGGCTGATCTTCTTACCAAAGTGGATTGTCACGCTCATGAAGAACGGAAAAGACAAGATAGTGAGCATCCAGTAGCCTATGCTGCCGCACAACAATCCGATAACGCTAGGTGTGCCGTGGCCACCCTTTGCCATCGAGAAAAGCACGAGTCCGATCCATGTCAGGAACAGAACACCCATATCTGCCATCGGTACAGTGCGTCGTGCCTTCGCAATTTCTTCCACCGAGAGAAATTTCTCTGGTTGTTTAGTTTGGATGCCCCAGCTTACTAGAGACTCGTTCTCATTCTCATCACTACTCGCTTCTTCCTCTGTGCTCGTCTCTGTGTTAGTAGAAACAGTGTGCTCGTCTTCACTACTAGCTTTTCCTGCCAAAATCTTGAGTCGAAGTTCCTCTTTTTCTGGTGACTTGTATGCCTTCCATTTCAAATATGCTCGTGCCACAACCTTAAACTGCTTGAAATTCGATTCATACGGCAGCAGTCGCCAGTACGCCACAGTGTCTGCTACGACCTTATTGTCCGCACTCGTCTCCTGTTTCCATATTTTCTTACCTTTACTGTACGTGCGCAAGGCCGTTTTGGTCAGCAACGACACAATACAAAGTGTAATGAGCCACTCGGGAAACACTGCATTCAAATTTACACCAATGATAGTTCCAGCCAGTGTCATGGGTTCCATGAGAAGTATCGTCTCATAGTCAATCAGCGGTCGGCTGTGCACTAGCGGATGACGTTTCCTCACATTTACAAGAAAACTGGCAATGGCACCACCAAAGATTGTGGCCTTAGACAGCGGCACCGCTTCGTGAGATGATATACTCATCAACATGATATACAATGGTACGAGGAGACCGCCGCCACCTAATCCAGATCCAGCAGCCAAGACAATAGCTACAAAAGCACCAATAGATCCGGCAATCTCCTCTTGCGTCAGTGGGAACAGTGCATTATCCACACAGACGCCACTGCGGCACGTGCTTTGGTCTCGTCCTTGTGCCAGGCAATCGGTCGCTGCCTCGCATATCACCACGGGCGTCTCTTGAATAAACTGTGCACGCCCTTGACTACAGACGAATAAAAATGTCGTTGCAATCAGCAGTAAGGAACGTGACGCCATCTTTGATGACATGCTCTAACGGCCTTTGAAGTGTAACAATTTGATCATTTAGTATTCACTATACACACGACACGATACAATTGGGTAATATCATTGGATGGATTTGGTAGCCAATGATTGAAAAGGTCAGGCTTGATGGGCGTCTAGCAAATGATACAAACATTTTAGTGCAACCGACATTTACAATATTCAATTATACGAAAACACAATTTGACGGCAGAGGTTTCGGTCATAATTGAAGCGTTGTTGTCATATTTCATGCCATGTGCTCCTACCATCCTTTGCCTTCTGTGTTGTATGTATCCGCGAGGCAGCTGTTTGCCCTCAAGCATGCGTTTGTGCTCATTACATTACTGAAGTAACACTAAAGAAAGTAGCTTGTGCATCTGAAAGCGACTTATTCTAATGTGGCTGCGACATGTACGTGCGCGCGACATAATAATTTGTAGTGAACGAACCAAGCGCCGTCGCAGAACATTCTTAGCGTGTGTTAATTCGTACCTATTCGCGTATGACCACCACACACCTTGCGCTGCGTCCAAACATTGACGGAAGCTGACACACTAAGTTTTTTCTACGAGACCCCTAGTCCAGCACCGAGTTACTAACACTATGAGCCCCGTTAAGGTGTGTCCACCACTGTCTTTCTGTCTATAATCGCCTGCTGCTATTGACGCTGACTTCGTTACCACTCATGTGCTACTTCAGACGTGCGTCGTATTGACCTCTTCAATGGTTTCCATCACCGAACAAAAGTATGAAATTGGTCACTTAAAGCAGCTGCTGGACGGCAACAAGATTGTCTATACGGAGGTGGACTGTAGCCTCGAGGAGAACCGTGACACACGTAACCTCTACTTCCAAGCAAGCGGTATCCGTGCCAACTATCCACAGGTCTTTCTGCAGGATCCGGAAGGCAAAAAGATTCAATACATTGGCTCTTTTAAGGAGATTCAGGTGCGTGACTGGCTGGTGTTGGTTTGATTTGTAGCTCTTAGATATCTATGGACTCATATGTTTTGCTTCGTTTGTGTAGGAGCTGAACGAGTTGAATGACGTGGCGCCTGAAATCATAAAGGCCAACAATCTCTTGACCCTCGATAGCGTCTTTGCAGGTATGGCTTGATTACATTGAGGATTTTTTTCCCATGATTGTTCGCTGCTCATCCTTTTGTGCTTGTGTTATGCTGTTGCTAGACGTTATGAAACGAGCTTGAAGAAAAGAATCGGCTGTCAAAGTGCATTTATGAATAACGAAAGACTATGCCTCCTACTGCCGGGCTTGACGCTGCTGCTTATACCCGGTCGGACTAGTTTTTATTCACAAGTGCACGACGCCGTCTACATGTACTAAGAAGCCAATAGATCAATTCAATTTTTTTTCGTGTCGCCGCAAATGCTGCGCTGTTTGTATTGCTTGGATCATGCACACACGTAAGTAATATTGCGGAAATAAGTAAGCATGTACGACGCCGCGGCCCAATTGGCTTACAGACTTGTAAATTATTTCGACTAAAGAAGTGCATGAATCTAGCAACGATATTCCACTTATTCTAGTTTCTCAAGTAATATTTCTTTATGATACACGATGCTCTACCGCTACTCAACAAAGAGTAAAAATCTCTCCTTCAGCTACGAGCTACCTTCTTCTGCCCGTCAATTCGTCCAATAATCGGCTTGCTCGTCTTCCAGTATTGTATTCTTTTTTGAAATCTACACCACCACCAGGCATCGCAGCACGTCAGCAGCCTTCCTGGGATCCCCCGAAAATAGCTCCAGAACCTTCGCGCTAATGCGGGACAGGTTTAGCTGACGAATCTCCTCCGCAATCTTACCGTCCTCATCAAACGTAATGTGAGAGGTCATCTGAAACGACAGCGGCTCGTTGCTGTCACCAAAGTGCGGCGCTAGCTCGGCGAAAGGCATAGTAAGCGGCACATTCTTGACGGCCTCCTTTTTCACGACCGCTTCGACGTCCCAATTGACAAGGCATTTGTCCGTCGAGTTAGCTTTCCACTGCACTGCGTACTGCCTGATCTCGTACTTGGCAAAAACACTAGCACTGGACTTCTTGCTGACGATAATGTCCGGCACGCCAGCAATGCTGGCACCATTGCTGCCGTACACAATTTCAGCGTTTTCAGCCCAGATACCACGGGCAATAGCCTCAAAAACAGATCCATCAGCCTCATTGCAGGCACGAATGTACGACGTCAACGTGGTGTTTTGCTTCTTGCGAAGTTCGTTCAGCTGTTCCTCCAAAAGAGGTCCACCCTTCACTCCAAAGTTTCGGCGGGCAATCTTGACCCTCAACATCCCATTTTCTTTCTCGAGCTCCGCCGTGCGATCCTCCAAAAAGTTAAGTCGGTCCTGTTTACGCTTGCGGCATTTGCGCACACGCTCGCGGTTTTTCATACGACGGCGCTCGTCCAGATCCTCCTGATCCGACACACGGTCCGAGTTGGGGCTTGCACTAAGACGAGGATCCGAAGTCTGCTGCAGTGCTGAACGGTTCATGTAGTCATACATGGGCACGTTCATGGAGGACATGACTGGATTATGTGACATGTGTCCCGGGTGATGGTTCATCTGCTGGGTCTGATGGTGGATCTGTTGCATCTGCTGCAAGTGCGACTGGGACTGTGGTTCCTGCTTGTACTGATCGGTCATTAACATCTTGGGCGGGCTATTGCTTGAAAAAGCACCGGGGAAGCGCATGGGGACTTTGGCACCAGACACGTCCTTAGGGGTATAGCCCGAAGGCGAAATCTTATTGTTGTTGCCATCAGAGGCATTACGCGGAGAATAACCAGCACTTGGTCGGTTCAAGTAGCCGTTAGAGGACTCGGTGGATGGGCCATTGGAAGCTTGACTTAATCCTGCAACGTTAATGCGTGGCGTAAATCCAGTCGAAAAACGAGGCGTAAAGCCCGAGCGAGGGGTCAAGCCCGTGCTGAAGACGCGGGGTGTTAGACCCGTCTTGAAAGTTCCCAAAGGACCGCAAAAGTCGCGCAAGTCTTCCATGCCAAAGGTCCGTGGACTGAGGCTCATGGGCTTAGGCAGTCCACCAATCTGATGGCCGACGTCACCATTGAGGTAGCCCGAGTTAGAAATGCCCATGCCGTGATTGTTCGCCACGTTAGATAGGCCAAGTTCCCCGCGCGCGGAGTGAAGACCCGTAGACATGGCCGTGCTGGAGCCGGTCGTAAGGGTGGCGGGACGAGCGACAGCACTCGGTCGGTGCGAATACAAACTAATTTTGATAAAAGCCGCGGAGGAATGAGACGGTCAAGTGTGCTGCGTATGAAGCTCAAGGATCTTATGTAGTAACGATCAGAGGTTATCTGACAGTGTAGCGTAGCGTAGTCGCGGGTAGAGCGATGATCCGTTTGTTTGAACACAGGACGTTACACGTAGGAGGTAAAAGAGATTATGTAATGATGGGGAGGCGCTTTGTGCTGTGCTTTGCTATTTTTTGTCACTGGGTTCTTTGGTTTGGCGTTGTGAAGTTGCGGACAGATGAATCGACGACTTGGATTTGCTGAAGGAGATGCTGAACTCGTTTAAAGCGAGCGTGGGAGAGCGGGCCTATCTGGCTGTCGCATTGATTTTCAAAGGGAGAGAGTTTCAGTGCGGTAATCGGCTGTTTTTAGCGCATCTACGTAAGAGCCGGTCCGTGACTTGCGGCACAAAACTTCGCTCGAGCGGATGGATTAATGGATGGATGGCCGATCGGTCATCGGCGTCATGGCCGGGGACGATGCAGCTATCACCAAAGGTGTTAGTGGTCAAAAATGCACCGGAGTAACGCGATCTTCGCCGTCACTGAACGGCACGTCAGTCCTCGGCGCATATCTTTTCCAGCTGTCGTGCCACTTTTTTGAGACGTTTGTCCATCCAAAGGGGTAGCACGTAGTACGAATGGACTGCAGCATGACAGCTGGTAGGTGGTTGAAAAAATAGCAAAATTCGGCAAGCCCAACGTTGCTGCTGCTGCAAGCCCGTTCAGACGGATGGGATATGATTGCCAGCTTTTTTGCGTGAAGAAATGCGTGGTCGCGCTACATCTGGTGGAAATACACACCACAATAAGGACGGCGCAGTTGTACTACTCCAGGCGGTCTTCTATTGCTCTGCTCCAAGCTGTCACTTCTGGTGCCGTTACAGTATAATACCATGGTGCCGTGCCAATCTTCATGCTACTGGTGACCAGCAAGATGTAATTAGTTACACGTATTGCATGCGCGTATTGAGGACAAAGGGAGTTACACGTATTGCATGCGCGTATTGAGGACAAAGGGACAAAATCGTTTACTCGGTTGCGGATGCATACCAAGATGTTGACTGCACTGTCCGACCCTCTGAGGCGTAAACAGCGCAAACGCATTGCTAATGGTCTGTCAGTGGAACAATTCTCATGTAACGGCTTCTGAGAATGAGCATCCATGTCTAGAACGTTTGACTGACTGCTGAGGTGCAATTCGTGTTAGTGTTTACAATTGGGTAGACTACAAGTCGATGTACTGGAAAAAAATGGTGACTCCATTACTCGCGCACTAGCTATCACGAACATAACGGCCTCCGCTATAGTAAAGGGGGGGAGCGCCAGCACGGTCTTCGCGCTTGCTTTCTGCGCAGTGTTTCGCACCACGTTTTGGTGAGGCTTGTTTGTTGGCACTAAGGAGAGCGTTAAAGATGGAGCTGTGTTTGAAGCTCGTGGCCCTTTTAGTGACGACAGTCCAATCGTGTGTGGTATAAATCAGCTGCAATAATGAGGCTGTCCTCGCAGCGACGGGCTGTGCAAGTTGCGTCCAGCAGCTCACGTCACGTGTTGCCTCTCCATGCGTGCTCACTTGAACTTGAATGGCGCTGTATGGACAAAGGTGTAGCCATGGGGAGGAGCAGATGGTCTGAGACTGCATCTGGCGTGGAACCACCTTTTTGCAGATGGTTGGGGATGATAGCCCACCTGGATAGAGATCTCGGTATATGACAACCCCGCGTCTTTTGGAAGTAATATGCTGGCAACTTTATCCATAAGCTGCGGCTACTATGGGCAGCTTTCTTACAAAATGCGAGATGTGGTGCAAGAAGACGCATCCTCCTGTACTGTAGGCTTTCTTCATGTACGATATCATGGTTGACGTGTCGCGCTAGATTTTGCTGGGGCGCTTATCCACTTACATTATAATACGGAATGACTGTCAACTTATATTATCACACCTCAAAAATTACCACCATCGACTGGTACTATCATGTTAATTGATCAGCCGAGGAAATGCTGTCTCACGTGTGTACTGGAACAGTTCCGTGACAGTTTAAAGGTGCAGAAGTTCAATGCGCAACAAACTATAGAAGTTATTCATAAAAATGATAAATATTCGTCCCATTTTGTGCGCCATTTTTTCGGCGTACAGCATTATACGCGTTCAGTTGCCAGCACCATATACTTATCCGTTGCGTCACTCGAGCTAATACAGCAAGAAATAGCATGTGCTTGGATTTTGAAAAATGGTGACCATCTCAATCCTTTCTTTACTTTCAACTGCACCATAATGAAGTATGCTCGAGCCAATGAATTAGCCATCCATTGAGGGCTGCAACCGCCACATTCTCGAAACGGATTATTTCCAGCACAAAATTGGCCTCCGTGACCATTATTGTCCCCCGTGTGGGAAGCCGCATACGTCCGCGTGGATAATCTGTGTGCTCTGCTAAGGGCCCATAGTAGCCGCAGCTTATGGATAAAGTTGCCAGCATTCTACTTCCAAAAGACGCGGGGTTGTCATATACCGAGATCTCTATCCAGGTGGGCTATCTTCCCCAACCATCTGCAAAAAGATGGTTCCACGCCAGATGCAGTCTCAGACCATCTGCTCCTCCATAGCCATGGCTGCACCTTTGTATGTACAGCGCCATTCAAGTTCAAGTGAGCACGCATGGAGAGGCAACACGTGACGTGAGCTGCTGGACGCAACTTGCACAGCCCGTCGCTGCGAGGACAGCCTCATTATTGCAGCTGATTCATGATGCACACGACGTGGAGGTTGTTACTTTATAAACTCACTTAATACACGATGTTTTGTACGAACAATTGAGTGGTCATGATGTGGCGCAACTCGTTCGTACACCATTAACCTTTAGACTTAGACTTAAAAATGGTATTCGGATCAATGCGCCACGCTGTCCAGCACCTTCGTCAGTCGGCTAAATTTGTCGCCACTCGTCGTTCCACTGCATCTACTTCTGCTTCATGCGTCAACACTTCGCAACTTTCGTCGGCATTTGTACAGACTCGTGCCAGTGCCACGCCAGTCGCAATCCAGCCCCAGCACGTGAAGGCCGACCCGACTGGTGTAGTGGCTGGAATTGCCATTGTAGGCGCCCTGATTGGTGTAGGAAAGATGTGGTGGGACAGTTCACATTTGTTGTCAGAAGAGACGGAGGTCGTAGCATTCCAGGAAATTCCGCAGGCTGAGATTGCGCTCTTCTTCACGGATCTGACGGCGGCCGTCAATGACCTGTTTGTACGTGAGCTGTTGCAATGCATTTGAAGGGTGTATTAAGAAAGGTTAGAGAGCTAACGTTGCTAAGATATTGGTTGCAGTCACAATTGCCAGAGATTGAGAATGCAGTACGGAAGTACCTGAAGGAGAACAACCACGAGCTGAGTGACGCTGAGTTCCAGCAATCTATTCTGTCGCAACTGTATCAGATGATGGAGGAACTTGAGAAGCAGATTGTTGGCAAGCGTCGATGGAGTCGTCAAAGTCTAGAGTTTGCTCTTGAGAAGTACGCACAGGACGAGGAAATTCTGAAGTTACAGGAGGCTTTGAACAACCTTATGCAGACGTGCGTACATGTTAAGAACGCTATAGTACGGACGTAGAAAACTGACTTCGTCGCTTGATGCTAGTGTGTTTCCAGCTCCAATACCTGTTGAAATCCCTGAGGATCTTACCGCGGACAAGACGTTGGCGATTCTGAAGGAGATGGTGGCTGGCATGGAGAAGGCCATGTCGGACATGCTTGCCCATGCCCGAACAGAAGGTATCAATGATGTCCGTGAGGCTATGGAGGAGTTTCAGAATCTGTACATGGAGCACGTTGAGCAGGCGACGCAGAAACAGATGAATGCGCACGGCATCTCTCAGGAGGTAGGCATACACGAGTCTGCTGCATTCTATAATGAGATTGTCATCATTGATACATTGTTGTGGGCTGCCAAATATGCATTGCAGGTTTTCGCGGCAGCTTTGCAGAAGTACAACACTGAAGACGAGCAGTTTCGGCAGCAAGTGGAGCAGATTTACACCCAGCAGGCTAAGGCGTACGTGTGATATTCTCGATGCTTTGGAGCAATTGCAATGGTTATCAAATGATGTACAGTACTGATGCTCTTGTGCTAATAATACTCTATCTGCAGCTTCCAGAAAATGGGACTACCCGTGGAGACCCAGTAGAGTGCTGTTGGAGATGTTCTAGACGTCTGTACTCGGTGTGCTGTAGACTCGTGCTTAAAGAGTGCACGACGGCTGTTGAACACTCCGAGGGAAAACGGAAACAATAGGCAAGCAAGCATTACCGCTCATAGGTCTTTCTTCATGATTCTACGATTTTGTAGCGCGCTGCAATTGTCGTGCTAGTAGAACTCGAAACAGTGTCTGCAAATCGAAACAGAAACAAATGCAAGCCAAGGCGTCATTTAAAGAAGCAGCAAGAGTCATCGGTCTTGTTAATTTCGCTTAGGTCACTCAGCGTTGCCACGCAAAGAGCATCGTCCACCACACTAATGCCAGAGGTTTAGTAATTCCCACTAGGGCAAGTAGCCAGCAATCGTCCACCAGCAACTTACTTGCCACCAAGGATGCCGACCGTACGTCCGCGACGACCAGTCGTCTTGGTGTGCTGGCCGCGCACCTTGAGACCCCACCAGTGACGCAAACCACGGTGAGCGTAAATCTTCTTAAGACGCTCGTAATCCTCGCGCCACTTGCCCTGTAGGTTGTTAGCCACGACCTGCGAGTGCTTGCCAGTCTTGAAATCCTTTTGTCTGTTTAGGAACCACACGGGGATCTTGAACTGCAGCGGGTTCTGGATGATAGCGACGACACGCTCAATTTCATCGTTCGTTAGCTCACCAGCACGCTTGGTGATGTCCACCTCAGCCTTCTTGCAAACCATGACGGAAAAACGACGACCGACACCCTGGATAGCAGTCAAAGCGACCCACACTTTACGACGACCATCAATGTTGGTGTTAAGAATACGCAGAATGTGCTGGAAATCCGGGCTAATGACAAGCGACTGGTGAACGACAGAAACAAGCGTTAGCAATCTCGACCCATGAGCCTTAACACTAAGTGTTTATATAGTTAAGAAAGGACAAGAGAGGGAAAACAAGCATTAAACAAAGCAGATCTATGTCCGTGTCCACCTAAAGACTTAAAAAAGGTGTCGATCGACGGCTTTTTCTGCGTCATTTCTGATGGAATTCTGTTCTTCTTCTTGCTCTTGCTTATTTGCTTGCTTTCCTCTGCTTATGCACCTTTTTCTTCTATTCAAAAAAGACTGGAAACTTACCATGGTTAAACGAATGCTTTTGCTTCTGGCAAAATGGGAACAATATGATAAGCGATTGCGTTGGTTAGTAAGCTCACTTGAATTTACTATAGTCTTTTAAATGACTGGCAGTCGACACTCGACGTCACGCACAGCCACTTAAAATGCTGGATGCAATTAATAACCAATCAGCAATTAAAGACTTATCCATCTACGCTTACCCTACCCGCTACTTTCTTGCTCCCTTTTCTTTTTCATATATAGGATTCTGCAGGATACAGTCACCATCCACTTAACACTTACTTCTACTCAACCTGTTACTTCACCATATAGATTCCTCCCTCAGTCAAAGATATTTCGAAAAGAATGAGCGACTTTCGACGTACGCAAAACACCTTTGGGGACGCCTTCCCGACTGCTGAGCAGCTGCATGGAGGCTTTAACTTTGACAACTGTCGTCGCAATGAGCTACTACTTAACCAATCAGGTGGCAAACAGCCACTCAAAGCCACGAAAACTGGCACGACCATTGTCGGTGTGGTCTATAAAGTAAGTGTTTTCTATGAGAATCCTCTCTAAGAGAATAAATAGTACGATGAATGCTTTATTTATGAAATTGCATAGGACGGTGTGGTCCTAGGTGCCGATACACGCTCGACCGGTGGCGCCATTGTCATGGACAAGAATTGTGAAAAGATTCATTACATTGCACCCAATATTTACTGTTGTGGTGCCGGGACTGCCGCTGATACGGAAAATACCACTGCACTTATCTCGTCGCAATTGGAACTTCACCGTCTGGTACGTCACTTGTTGCCAAACAAAGCTGTACTACCTCTGGAAATGTATTCTCTTTGTTGCTAATTCGAGTCTTTTTATTCTTGTAGAATACCGACACACAGTCGCGTGTGGTGACAGCCATGACATTGCTAAAGAAAATGCTGTTTCAGTACCAAGGCCACGTCTCAGCTGCACTGGTGCTTGGTGGGGTGGATATTACGGGGCCCCATCTCTATACGATTTATCCCCATGGAAGGTGTGCTTTGGTCATCAGCTTCTAAAGGTATTGACTTTGTAGAGGTTTGATGACTTTATTGGTTTTTGTATAAAACAGTACAGACAAACTGCCTTTTGTGACAATGGGGTCGGGTAGTCTTGCTGCTATGTCAGTCTTTGAGCAAGGGTACAAAGATGATATGACGGTATGTAGCTGACTAGTGACAAAATGATGGAGTGAACCGGATCTAATATGATGATGTCGGATTTACAGGAGGATGAGGCCAAAACACTCGTGCAGGAAGCTATTCTAGCTGGTATTTTCAACGATCTCGGCTCGGGCAGTAATGTTGATGTGATGACGATCAAGAAAAGTAACGGCAAAGTGGAAGTGGTAAAGGAGATTAACTGTATCAAGCCCAATGAGGTGTCGGAGCTACGGTCGCAGATCAACCGGAACATTGTCACGCACATTCCACGTGGAGCTACACGTACGTATCTGAGACTATTGCTTCTGTGTCGCTTTTCGAAATAGCTAATTGGTTTGCTTTTGTGCTACGTACAGAGGTCCTGAGTTCCAAGACAGAGATATTCCCCGCCAGCATTGTTGTCGAGGAGGCCACACCTATGGAACTATAGATGCCGATGGTCGCATCCTGGTCATTCGAACGCAATACGTAACCGAAATGGCTAATTGCGAAACAAAATGCACTGAATTTCTGGCGAGTGTGTCTACTTTTGGTACCTTTATTAAAGATCAGCTATTCTGTAATCTTGTCGACACGACTAACACTTAGTCCTCATGCTTTGTCGAGCATGATCATGTCTGCTGTCAGGTGCAGCTTCTCTACAATATCGGTAGGAATTGCAAACGTCGGGTGAATCTTTCGAATACCTTCATATTCCGGGTGCGTCTCTTTCTCACGATCAAAGTAGCCGAGCATACAGAGTCCCGCAATGCCAAAGAAAGTGTGGAACACGTCCGCTACATTGCCCGGACGATCGGCAATTCCTCCATCTTCAAAGTCCTGACACGCTAGAATAAATTGAATGAGTTTCTCCTTGTTGATCCAGTCCAGCTTGCCAATCATGATGAGTGACGAGATATTCCACCAACTATAGCACACGTCGGCTTGTTTCTCGGGTCTTCCATTCAAACCACCCGAGTCACATTGTCGCTCTGAGAGCCACCAACCAAGCAAGTCATCATCTACATATTGATCCAGAGCAAACCCTAATGACAGTGCACCGATTGCTGTAAAGGTATGTCCTCCATGTGATTCACAGCCTGGAATGTTGCCATAACCACCGTCAAAGTTGCGGCACGTATCAATGTAAGCCACTGCAGTCTCAATCTCAACAAGGTCCAATTTATCCAGAATCTTGAGTGCCGACAATGCACAGTATGTAAATTTGGTATCAATCTCGTTCCACTCATCACCAGCAAAAGAGCCGTCGCTCTGCTGTAGTGACGCCACGTAGAGTGCACATTTATCTCTTTGGATCCGATCCAGAGCACCCAACATGGCGAGAATTAGCAGTGCATGAAGAGTATAGAGAAGATGACGATCATGACCGATATTACCAGAGAATCCTCCATCTATGTGTTCACATTGTAGAACCCAATCGACAATTTCTTGAGGTATCATGTCTTCCTCCCGATTTAAAAGGGCCATGGCCCCCACCCCCCAATACAATCCACTTACACGCATATGCTCTGTCATACACGATTCAAAGTCTTCATTCTTATTCTTAAGACCGAGTAGATACTTGACATGCAAGTCGAGATCAAAGGCCAGAGGCTGGGACTTGCTCTCATTATTCATACTCATGTGCTTTTTATTATACCAAAGGGGGAGTACTGGAGGAATAGTATAACAATGAAGAGGTAACACTAGACAGAGGTCAACTTCAACATGCACTGCTACGTCTTGACTGCTTTCATGTCCTTAGTATTTTTTACAATGAGACGTTGACGAGGAATTAAGAGACATCATGTCATATCGATCATCTACCATGCTATGCAAGAGCACATATCGTTCACGACCACCACGACGTGAAGTGGATTCGGGCATTAAAGTCAGAATTTCTTCCATCGTGTACTTAAGCTGTTTTCGATATCGTGGATTATTAGCGCACATCGTGTCGATGCCATCGTGCCCCGCTTCCATTAACGCCGATGACATCTCTCGTACAAGAGCAAACGGGAGATCTATCGACAATACTTTCATGGCATCGTCCGCACGAGCGGAAAAGCTCGAAGAGATCCACTTTGATACACGACGCGTGACTTTCTGGGTATCAAGCTGATAGTTGCGGTAGTTCCTGTCTCTCGATTGATACTTTGCATCAACCACCCTTACATCAAAGATAGGCTGCAATGTGTTGCCAGTAGATGAAGAATTATTGCCATCACCGCCGTTAGTGCTGCTGTTCATACTTTTTCCAACATAATCATGTCCACGGCCACCACCAGCTGCAATGTCACCGTGGGAGCTTTTGCCAGTGTTCGTCTGTAGCTCGACAATGCACTCTGGCAACGATGTCACATTTGTCACCACATCAGCATCAGAATGGTTGTTCACTGCTCGAATCTTCACCTGTTGCTTCTCTCGCATCATGTGGTTTTGCACAATCACCATCCATTGGATGTTTTGCTGAGCACAGTAATCTTCGAGGTCTTCAAGGTGCAGCGGTTCTGGATGTAGATATTCTGCGCTAATGCCGTGTCCCCATAACAGCATTGCAAGCTGCATACGAAAAAGCATCGTGTCCGATGTCTTACCTGCCGAACAAATCAAAACCTTGCGGCCACTCGTCAGGACTTCTGAGGCTGGAGACTTGAATTCCAGCAACGCAGTACACATGGACTCAGCTAGCAACGATACAATCTTATCGATGGCAAAACGTACACCCATCGCAGCGACAGATGAAGCGTTTGCGTACGCCGTTGTGAGTTTAAAGCGTGAAACTAAAGCGTCGTAGCGTCCCCCTTCAGCGATGATGATCTGATTGTCCGTCGTCGCGATCAACAAGGAAGCAGCCGTATCACCATTATGATCACTATACGAGGCGTCCTCAAGCAATATTGCCTGAAATATGAAACCCGACGTATAGCGCTCGGGACGTGGGCTCAACCCCAAATCCAATCGTGTGCACACTGGACCTGACAGCCGAAGAAACTGCATGCCTTGCAACAATATGCGTAAGGACGTACTACCCTCAGTCACCTCTTCGACGATGCGTCGTAGCTGTGCATCACGTTTTTGGATCTGTTTCCGGTCTATCGGAGATGAAGAGCCAGGATTACCATCTGCTGCCGTCGCGGAGTCTCGGTTCGCAAGTGCCCGATTTTTTGCAAACAATTTTTGCACCTCCAACTCAATAATGTCGAGCGACGTAAGGCAGTCTTCCGGTAGCAAGAAGAATGGTTTGAGTGCATCAATAGAGCTTGCCGATACCCCGTAGTGTTTCAATCGCTTCGCGACAAACTTCCAGCGTCCTGGTTTCAGACTCGGAGCTTGAGTGGAAGATGGACCAGCGTGCACATAGAATGAAACTTCGTTCGAAAGTAGCCGTTGCACTTCGCGACGAGCACTGTTGGGAACGCGGCAAAGGTCAAGAATGCCGTGCGTCATTCGAGCGTCATTGAAGCGCAAATAGTAGGAACCCAGACAGCTCGGCAGCGCCTTAATCACACTTGAGACCACTTCTAATCCCTCCAGCTCCAAGAAACGAAAACAGCCACTATCATCCCAAATGATATCGAAGTCAGACTCGGTGAACTCGCGTGGATGACCACCACCAACGCTCTTCCGGTATACTCGGTCGAATTGGAAGCACTTCAGACGTGAAATGTTGCGCCGTGCCACGAAGCGAGCAAGCCTCTCTGTCAAATCAAATGGAAGCGATACTGACACACCGTTACCGTCTAACATCATTGATGCGTTTGACGGGGCGTTCAGAGTGATGTTGTTAAAGCTCTGCTCGGATAACCTTGGCATAAGCAGCGGTGTTGAGATTTCGACGGCTCCATGGCGCTGGAACACTTTCTGCTTCACAATGACAAATATTTCGCTTAGACATAAACACAGTATCCGCTACAAAAGATAAAATGGTTCCCAACCTGTAAAACGTTCCTGACGTATGTTTTTGCGCGTAATTGAACCTCGTAGCTGCGCATTTTGATGGACTCCAAATGATCGTACGTGTAGTCGGCGTGACTAAGAGGCTTCTGTGAGACCAGGGCATCAATAAGTTGGCTAAAAAATTTACCCTGTGGGTTTGCAAGAGTTTTCAGAGCCTCTCGAAGATAGGAGCCTTCGATCTCTATCTTTGCAGGCAATAGTGGGCTCGCCAGTAGCTCCTTTGCGTTTGGTCGTCTAGACGGATCGCGCTCGCAGAGCCACAGAATAATCTTTTTCACATCATCCGGCGCGCTGAAAGATTCAGGTAGTTCGTGCTTTTCCCTCAGTCTACTAAGTACTTGTGCACGCTCCATCAGAGTCGTGAATGGCTGTGACCACATTTCGAAGAACATAATCCCGAGAGAGAACAAATCCGCTTTCTGATTATACCGCTGCCCTTCTCTCTCTTGCTCGGGTGCCCGATAATACGCTGTACCGACGCCAGCAGTGATACTACCGTCAACGACGTTCGCTGACATTGTCGTCATCAGGTTGCTATTCTGCAGGACGCTTGATCGACTGACAACTCTTGTGCTTTCCAAGTTTTCTAGCTTCAGTCGCCCATAAAACTCGGCAGCTGATGACCCATTTGACTCGGATAATACCGCGCCAGTCATAGTTTCTCCAGAAGGGGAGGAGTCACCGTTGCTATCGTCGTCCGTGACCTTGGGAGGCCGAACGGCGAGACCAAAATCTCCTAGCTTTACAGTTCCCTCCGAGTCCAGAAACACGTTAGGTGGCTTGATATCGCGGTGAATAATGCCCTGACGATGAATATAGACAAGCGCCTCCAGGATTTGGCGAAACATCGTCCAAATTTTGTCGGCGTCTTTCCATAAACCTCCCTTGTCTATCACCTCTCTGAGAGCGTTTCCCTCGCAAAACTCCATCTGAATGTACAATTTCTCCAGCTTCCTTTTGTCCTCGAACACAGAATTTCTAAGAGACCGTTTTTCACCGGGATATACAACATCTCCATCGTCACTGAAGTCGACCTCTTCCATCGGAGCTTCTTCCAGTGCTTCCCACTCAAAGCCATCATCAGGAAAGCTCTCGGATGCATAACTATGCGACGATAGCATATATGTTTGGCTTTTACTACGTAGACTACGAGAGTCGTGGCGAGACGTCGACACAGGCCACAGTCCCGTGCTGCCACCCATCGTGCCTAACCAGTCATCTTCATCTTCGTCTGTAGACGTCATGGGCCCCAGTCCATCGTCAACACTAGACGAAAGACTCACATCGCCATACACATTTTCTTCCTCACTTACAGCGCCGTCACTTGGCAAATTGTCTTCGTCACTTAGATTGCCGACTTCCAGTTTAGAATCCTCTTCGTCGTCGCTAGACATTCGACCTTTGCCTTCAATCCATGCCTGAAAGTATCGCACAATATGTCGGTGCTGCATTCGTGAAATTGTCTTTACTTCACGCAAAATCTTCTTCTTCATCGTCTTATCATCCGGATCTAGCTTGACCTTCTTGACAGCGTAAAGCTGTCGGTCTAGACGGTTACGTACCTGCACTACCTCTCCTCCTCCCCCGCGTCCTAGTAGCCCTAGCTCCTTAAAATCACCTTGATACCTGGACTGGTATCGCTTTGCAGCCGTCACTGCGTCCAAGTCCGACTCATCCGAGTCCGAATCCAGCACACTTGACACAATTTCATCCCGCTTGGAAGATGCATTTGGCTGCTGTTGGCAACTACTTGATAGGATCCCACCCTCACTACCACTACAGTCTCCATCAATACTTAATCGGTGTCTCCTCCGTCTCCTTCGTGTCTTCTTCATCGTCTCTCTTTTTCTTCTCTCAGCGTCAATAAGCGCCAAAATTTCCTCATTTTTTGCTCGAGCCTGTTCTTCTTGTTGCTGCAGCAGTGCGTCCTCTGCCAGCTTATCCTGTGTCTCTCTATCCTGTTGCCGAGTCATCATTTGGTCGAAAAATGACGATTGGTCCTTTAGATGGTCTTGGATAAAGTCGGTGGCAAAGACAACGAGGTCGTACACGGCTGCGTCCCCCACTTTCTCCAGCGCGAGTTTCTCCATCCCACGCGTCAGTTTTTGCGTCTCCGTATCCGACAAGCCGTGCTTGGCTTCCACCGTGATGTTGGGCGGCTGTTTGATTGGGTACGCCCGTGTCAAGTCGAAATGCAGCAGCACTTCGGCCGTCGTAGCTGTGCCCGACGTGGCTTCACACAACAATCGGATAGTGAAGATGTAGGTGTACAGCGGTGTAGAGCTCTGCATTGTCAGGTCTTGATCGTAAATAGCTTGCAACACTTCCAGCTCTTGGGTTTGTAGCTCTCGTGCTTCGGATAATGTAGCGACGTCATAGGAGGCTGAAGTATCGTGGGTTACGGCAGCAGGAACGTCTATAGAAAGAGAATCAAGCAAATATGTTGAGATGGGTAAGGCGAGGAGATGTAGACGTAGCAACGTACCTCTTTTCTTCCCCTTCTTCCGACTCATAGTCCAGATGAAGTGAATGACAACGATATTATTGGAGTAGAATTGGTGAATGGACGAGGATGCATATGATGAAGTGACTCAAAAGGGCCATGAAGAACAAGCCACACCGACATGCAATCTGATCACAAGTGACTCGAGAGAAAGGAAGCTGCGCCTATTGAATCTCTAGAAGCTAGACCAGTTTTCATGCTACTGTATAAAATGCTTTGAGATTGAAGAGAGGACGAATGGCATCTGCAGCATTATGATGGACACCCTATCCACTGCAGTAGATACTTCTTGATCACGCACACAAACTAGCGTGCTTGAATCGTTAATGTATCATCGATGAAGCTGCAGGCAACAACCAATTTTACTTGATGTCACTCCTCTTTGCAAGCAAACAGTCGATCCAAAAAATGATACGAACGCCAGGAGCTCACTTGAGAATTTGCTGCCCGTCAACGGCCCCATCGCCCTTTGTTGTACCGGTATTGTCACGAGCACACATGACTGTTAAAATCCCTGTTGGTCTTGTAGGTTTCGGCACGGGCTCAAGCGTCTTTCATGCACCTTTGCTCCTTAGCTCGGGTCAGTTCGAGCTCACACACGTGCTGGAACGTTCGACTTGCAAAAGTCTAGTGCTAGTACCCGCTCCCAAGATCGTGCGCTCCATGGCAGAACTACTGAACACTGACGTGCAACTCGTGGTCATTTCCACCCCGACGACAGTACACTTTGAACAGGCCAAGCAGGCAATGGAGGCGAAACGTCACGTGGTCGTTGACAAACCGCTATGTGTCACGACACAACAGGCCGAGGAACTCTGCAGCATTGCCAAAGATAATGACGTGGTCTTTTCCGTCTTCCAGAACCGTCGATTTGACAGTGACTTTCTTACGGTGAGGAGCTTGATCGAGGCCGGCACACTTGGCCAAGTGTGCAAGTTTGAGGCTCATTACGACCGTTATCGTCCGATCATGAAGGGCTACTGGAAGGAGAAGGCTGGACTCTGTGGTGGAGTATTGTACGACCTAGGAGCCCATCAGACGGACCAGGCACTACAGCTCTTCGGCCAGCCCGATTTGGTCGAGGCTGATGTCCAGATCCAACGCGAAGGTGCGGAGAACGACGATTACTTCCGTCTCGAGCTAAAATACGACAAGTTCCCGGAGCGGAAGGTGATTCTGAGCGCCGGTATGCTAATGAAAAACCCTGGCCCGAAGTACATGATTGTGGGCACGCAAGGAACCTTTGTGAAGTATGGAGAGGATGGACAGGAGAAGGCTCTGCGTGCGGGCAAGCGTCCTGGCGACGAAGGTTGGGGTCAGGAACCCGAAAGCTCGTTTGGCAAGTTCACGGACGCTGTTACGGGCAAGACCCGCGTCATTCCCAGCAAGCGCGGCTCGTACGAGGTATACTACAAAAACATTGCGGCTGCTATTCGTGGAGAGGAAAAGCTCACGGTGAACCCGAAAGAAGAGGTGATTGAGCAAATACGTATTATCGAAAACGCGAAGAAGACCGAGCGCGTCAATCGCATCACTGTTTGAGCTGATATTGCAATAGGTCGAAGCCCCAACACCGTTGTTCAACTAAAGAGCAAATAAACATGATTCCATGCGAACCGTTCACAATTTCGTCTTGCTCGTCTCGCGTGTACCATGAAGCTTAGCAAGTCCGGTTTCGATGTCGTGTTCGCTGTTCGCTGTCCACAAGATGGTGGTGCAAGAAACACTATCGTACCAAGCGTATTGCATGTGGAGCTCGACAACATTGCTACAATAACGTTTTAATCTGTTTGGTCTTTGCCGCTAACACTGATTATTCTGGGCAACATATTGCTTTCAGTCGTCCAGTCGCACCTTCTGGCAAGGCAATGCGACGTCTTCTACGTGGATCATTATCGTTCCTTAAATAATGATCGTTGTCCTCGTGCTGATGTTTCGAATCTTTTCGCAGACTTGTTACCCTCGAGTTAAAAGCAAAGATGATGGATGCATCGTTGGAAAAATATATGAAGTGCATGAAAGGACTGGTATATGTTTGCTGTATTACTGCTGGTTGCTTATCGAACACCAGCACCATTTGTGGATCAAGTTACGACTATCAAAAGTCACGCTTAGATGGCAAGATGCAAAAAAATAGTTCGCAAACCGTTTGCTACCTCGAAACCTATTCAACCTTTTCGATCGTTCCCTATCCTGACTCACGATCTTGCCCACAATTAAACTTTTAATGCGCCATCGCAGCAACGTCATCTCATTAGGCTTTACAGGGCTACTCGGGCGTTTCCTGGACAGCAAAAACCTGCAGCTACCTTTATAATGCTACGCTTTGCCAGACTTCTTCGGCCAAAGGATCGATATTTTCTTGCGAAGCGCTTTGGTAATAGCTATTAAGCGACTGCGCCAGCTCCAGGCTCAGCGAATCGTCGAGAGGGAGTCTCAGAATGGACCGTGTAAGAATATCAGCTTTTCATCGCTTCATAGCGGGCTCGCCTTCACCGCTTTCACAAGATCAATTAAAAAATCTTCTCCTCAGTGAGGATCACATTCGGTACGCGAGGATCTATATGGACCAGGCGAATCGAGTAATGCTGCCATAATAGTCTAGAGGCTTCGTACTTTCTCTCGAGTCGTTGGTCGCGCTAGTGGTTTCCCGACAGGAATCAGGATAGCGCCGCGCTTTCAATCGTTTGGATAATCTCTTTAACAGAAGTAATCGTTAAGCCTGTGTGCTGGGCTTTAAATAAGGCTATCCGCTCTTGTTAAAGACGTCTAATATCAGTCGTTACGATTGTAGACGGGCACTTCGAAAGAAGCTGCCACGTGCTACGAGCACACACCTTTGAGCATCGTAAGGAAGCGGCTAGACCGTCTTACCGCCGCGTGTGGTGGTAGTGGTGGAGGTCGGCGCTTAAAGCGTAGTACCAACCGTTACCGGTCGCTTAGAGCGGTCCGCGCAACGAACAATTAACAAGTGTCTCACTTACGTCACGCAGAAGTTTATTCAGCTTCTCGTGCACAGTGGACGGCAATTAATAAATTCAAGACTGACTTATATGTAATATAATACTTAGATGCTTTCAGTAATTATCCTGCATTACAACAAAAAAAATAAAAAGATAATTAACTGAATATACATCTAACTACTGATTGGATAAATGTAAAGATCAGATTCGCGTCTCCTTAGAAGCGTATCCTTATGTGCGAGCTTAATATATTTTTAAGCCCGCTGGTGACGCCTGTCTGAAGCGTCACTATGACGCATAGTCCCAACTGGCGTCATCCCCGTTGAATGTGAATCCATCCATGGATATTACATTCACGAGGGTGGGTCACATTGATGTGCCGCAAGCAAGTGGAAGGTTTAAGGTACCACGTACACTTTTCAACATGCCCGATAAAATCGATACTTAGCGAATCGTGTAACAATTAGACCTTTACACCGTCCCCCTCTCTAAGACGACTTTTAAATTTATGTTAAAATCGACTAGAGACTATGCCGCCGAAACGTGGAAAGGCTGATGGGTCGCCTGCAAAGGCTCCCATACATACCAGAACAAAGAGAACGCGCCGCGATAACTCGCAGCCGTCGCTAAGTGTTTCTGTGATAACGCCGACATCTAATGTCAGCTTGTCAGCTGAGAACACTGGTCCATCCCACTACAGTGCAGATGAAGACTTGCTTTCATTGCTGACTACGATGAGAGCACGCCATTGCCATCACTCCAAAGTGGTGATGAGCACAGTGCTCTGATGGGACATTGTCCCCATCATTTGAGGCACTCAATCTTCAGGAAGCTTCCATGCTTCCTGATAGCGAAGGTCATGCCTCGTCGTCTGCGTCAGCGAGTGCAGCGACCACAACTAAGCGCGTTGCTTCGAAAGACACAGTTGTGACATAACAGCAGGTCGGCGATTTATAAATCGTCCGCCTCTGTTAACCCTACGTCTGACGTCTTCACAAATTAAAATGGAGAGTCATACTTAGGTGAGGGTGAGCAAAAAGCTTTGACTTCACAGTCGGACTCACTAGGACGCCGTCGCGAGGGTGGCTAGGTGAGGGGTGTCTTGCCACCAATGCCACCACCATCCGAGTGGTCACGCTCGAGAAATAAGTGCGACGCTCCTAGAGCGTGCCACTATTGACGCTAATAAACTCTTAGCAACTTTCCATCATGAAAACGGCAGGGAAAAGCACTAGGTCTTGCTTTCCCTATCCCCGTCGTGTTGCGTTTTAACGAAACAACCGACTAATACGAAGCAGAGTTCCTGCGCCGTGTTAAACCACATGCAGATGCAGTGAAACAGCGGTCGCAGCAAATCAGCTACGCTATGACGCGTGCGAGGGGAATTTTGGGTGGTAACATACCCCCATCTCCTCTCGTCACGCTGCCCCTGCTATTCCATCATGACCTAGCAGTACAAATGCAGCTGGTGCTTCTACTCATAAGCAGACACCCTACCAGGCACGTCGTTTCGAAACGCCTCAATCGATTCCCAGGAGTCGAAACTCTTCGAGTATCCTTTCCACTGGACAAGGATCTGAAGCTTTTGCTTCACATGGCGGTGGGCCAACAACCTTTCAACAAGGAAGCGTGTGTTCTTCCCCATATCCACCAAAACAGGTTGCGTTTGATAGGAGCGGCGATTACGCCCAACTATTCGCGGCTTCCTATCCTGTTGTCGTTCAGTCGCAGGCGGAGATCGCTGCGCTGAAGAAAGAGGTGGCTGATCTGTCAAATTAAGTCTCGCGACTGACTTCGGATCTACGCTCTGTGGATACAAGGTATCGTCAGGGGCATGATCACCTGAAGGCTCGTTTGGACATACACGAACGACTGGTGATGAGAGACTCGCGTCCAACGCGGAGTTCCTCCTCGATCACCAAGTCCTCTGTCGTCGGTCTCGTATAGGAGAAGTCGTTCACCTTCCCCGTCACCTGATCTTCACCGACGCTCGACTCACAGTCGACGTCACCATCGATCTCGTTCGACTGATGCGGATATGTGATCTCTTGTGTGGATCCACATACCGTTTCAGACGACCCACGTGAAACACGGGGCGCGTCTTCATATACGGTGGGAGAGTGAGCTTGTAGTTTAGGTCTACAACCTCCTCGACCACTGTAAATGGCCCAATGAATCGAGGCAATAGCTTAGTAGTACCACCAGGTAGTACATAAATTGCATTTGTAGGTAGGGTAGCAGTACGTAAAAGCACTTTGCCCCCCACACTAAAGTGTTCATTGTTATTGCTTGTCCTGTGCGCTTTCCATCGTGTCACGGACTTTACGTGTGATGTCTAATCGCTCATCCACGAAGCGCTGAGCTTTACTCACACTTTTAGCATCCAGCTCGCCTATGGCGCCTCCAAGAGATCGGTCATGGGTCGACGCTGTTGATAACACCATAGTGTCATCGTCAAGGAGCACTGGCATTTCTTGCCGTGCCTCCTCTGTGACACCTATAGGTGTTGTGACTACTTCTAAATTAGCAGTGTCACTAGGGAAAGCTTGGCCTTTTTGGCATTCGCACCGAGCGAAGTGAGGGGCCCTCCCCCACTTTGACTTGGGCTGCGCACAAACGAGACTGTCGTCCAAGGATTACGAAGTACGTTGATATAAAACGGTGTTTCACCCGTACTGGCGTGAGCACTGTTACTAATAATGAACTCCACGGATGGCAATTGCTTGCTCCATTCTTTGGAAGTCGCTACCGTTTGCAACACATCCGCCATGACTCGATTGGCCCGTTCTGTTTGGCCATCGGTCTGGGGATGATCAGCGGTTGGCATGTGGATCTTGCTACCTAGCAGCTCAAACACATGACGCCAAAAACCCGACGTAAAACTCGGATCCCGGTCCAACACTATGAACTCGGGCATTCCGTGTAGTCGATATACGTGATCCAGAATCAAGAGGGCTGACTCTTTTCCTGAGATCTTGGTGCTACATGGTGCCAAATGCACCATCTTGTTCAGTCTGTCTACAAAGACGACGAGCCCCGTCCTGCCTTTATGGTCAGGCAATAAGCCAAACATGAAGTCCAAACTGACCGACTTCCAACATTCAGTTGGAATCGGCAGTGGCTTCAGTGGCTCACTGTTTGAAGGTGCAGGCTTTATGCGCTGACACTCTTCACAAGAGCGAATATAGTTGGCCACCCACCGATATAGGTGGGCCACCAAAACTCCTCTGACACTCGTAAGAATGTCTTTTCACGGCCCAGATGCCCACTAGATGGCGCATCATGGCACTCGTGAAGTATCATCAGCTTGAGATCTGTGTCATGAAGGACACAGATTCTCAAAGGATCACAGGGTGACAGTTGATGCCATAACAGGACATCACTGTAACTAAAGCGATTTAGTTTCGCTTTGAGGTGCGACGGAAGGGTAACCTTTCGTCCACCAAAATGATCCAACAGCAGGCGACAATGTTCGTCCTGCCTGTAACACTCCTTTATATCGGAGGCCATTGAGCTCGTCACATGGTAGGCCTTCATGGCTGCCAATGTTGACGACTCAACTTGTGCTTTCGCACGAGA